GAGAAGAATAGAGAGAGAGAGAGAGAGAGAGGCGTCTCTCTCCTCTTTTGCATCGTGACTCGGCCAGCCTCTCGCCATTCCAGGGTTATTCCTGTGTCGCGTTTCGTACGGCGTGCAACATTTCAACATTTCCGTTTCGCCCTCTCTCTTTTCTCGTAATCCGCTTCTATTCGTAATCCGCCGTACGCTTTTTCTCATCTCATGTGGCTGGTTTCTTTTCTCTCACTCTTGATGGGATTCGTGCTCGAGTGTCGCATCATTTGGATCGTGCCAATTCCCAACTCGAACTCGAGGAGGATTCGAAAAACCTGGCGGTGGTTCGGTGTATCGCACCACGCCGCGACCCTCTTCGGCATTGCGTGCTTGATAAGAGATATTACGGGGATCGGTCGATACATCGAAAATTAGAATTGGGCAGGGAGTGCGTTGTGGAAATGAAAGAGGAGATAGAGCGTGATAGGTCTCGTCGCGATTCGTGAAGCGCAGCTCTTGTGAATCAAACGGAGACTTCTCTCTTTACAGAGAATACCATAGATACTATATCGAAGAAGACGTTGCACAGTCTGAATTTATCTTGCAACGGTGACTCAGTTTCCTCGTCGGATAATCTGGCAAACGGTAGCAGTGAGACGCTGCAAAAGTCGCATTTAACGCCAGACGAGAAATTAAACGTCAGCAATGGTCATCGAAGCAGCCCGGAACCAGAACAGCTGACAGTGAAGAAACCGAGTTACTTGGGCCTGGCGTGTAGCATCAGCGGTTATTCCGGGATCAATAGATACGATAGCAAACTCAGGGAAGGATTTCGATCGAGGGACAGTAGCCCTGGGACCAGGTTGATCACTCGAGACACTAGCCCAGCAAGCTTCAGGTAAAAAACGTCTCTCCAACCAACTTCTTGATTTCTCTTTTTCTCTTCTTCTTCTTCTTCTTCTTCTTTCTTTCTTTCTAACCTTTTACCACGAATCTCCTCCTTCGAAATTGTTTTTCTTTTTTCCAGATCGAACGAATATCTCAACGTACCATCGCATCCTTATCCACCCAAGAGCCAATCAATTTCGCCTCTAGCTATGGACAGACAAAACGGTTTCTCGAACGGTTTGAAGGAAGAGTGCAAAGTGGAGGCTTACAGGGAATCCAGAAACTCGATAGGTATATATCAGGGTTACTCGGAAGTCGACAAAGGCGTGTTGACGACATTCCCTGAAATTAGTCCGGTCATATCCTCTACCCCTACGAAACGTAGTCCCGGAGTTTCGCAGATGATGTCTTGCAGCCAACAGAATAAACATTTCTCGGTAACAACTTCCCCGAAGCGAGATGCCGCCAGTCGTAAGTGTCTCGTAAGATAAAATTGTTGAATTGGGTTTATTCGTCGCGTTAAAATAAATTTTCTAAATTATTTCCGAAATTTCAGTCGCGAACGCTTCGCTCAACGAGACGAACGTATTGAACGGGTCGTCGACGGAGGAAGTGGGTAGTCAGGTGATAAGCAACACCCCGAGCAGCGAGAAATCCTTCATCCAACAGCGAGTGGAACGGTTGTACGGGCCTGGTGCACTCGCCCAGGGTTTCTTCTTCAAACGCAGCACCACCAGACTGAACACTAGCGACAACGTTTCCAACAAGTCTAGTAACAACAACGATGTGTCGGTGGAGAACGCAAATACGGAGGAATCGTTGAAGAACTTGCCCGTGTTGAGACACCTGAGACCAGAGTTTCGAGCACAACTTCCTGTGGTCAGCCCTAGAAGACCTACGGATGGCTCGGAACAAATTCTCAAACCTCTGCAAAGGTAATTCTATCGGCCGGAGTCGGATCGAAACTGTCGATGTTAATACGCGTTACGATGTTGAACGATTACGATTACTTTCTTTTTTTTCTTTCCTTTTTTTTTTTTTTTTTTATTCGTGTCAGGGTGTCGCCAGTATCTCGAAAGGTGGAGCAGAACCAAAAATACCAGCTGCTACGAATTTAGATGGGAATTTGACCGATAGCAACACGCAGGAATTAAGTTCTAGCGTGACTAGCATCCCGGATCAACAGCCAGCTGCGCCAAAAGTAGTCTTACCTGTCTTAGAATCGAGCGCCAGCTCGACAAATGTGGCGAAACAGGTTCAGGAGGCGGAGAAAACGGTCGAAGAGAAAAATGGACATTACTTTATGAAGGTATACCTAATTGGAACGAAGTTGGACGAAAGAAACGTTTTACCGACGACGTGTTCTTCCCCCGATTGTCACAGTTGCTGAAACAGGAGACGGACAGATTACTCTCGTTAGCTGCGTTAGCGGAAGCGGAATTGTCCAGTAGCGGCGATACCGTTCCACTTCCGGAAGAGGCGGCAGGAAAATTGCGCTCAGCTGCTGGCAAAGCTAGACTGCTCGCTTCCCAAAAGATGCAACAATTCGAGGGACTATGCCAGAAAAATATCGTAATCCATCTTTTCTTTGTATTTTGATAAGAGCAATTGTTTATTGTAACTCGAACGATTAACAAGATTAAACACGTTCGTTTGATCAGAATCAGGTACCCGGCGAGGAATTCCCAACGACGAACGAAGATCTGGCCGGTTTCTGGGACATGGTGATGTTACAGGTGGTCCAAGTAAACGAACTATTCGATCAGATAGAAAAATTGCGCAGTTCTCATTGGCAAGAGGTACGTTCAGTTTCTGTTCATCCTCAGACAATCCCCGATTCTTTGAAGCCTGTTGAGAACAATTTTTATTCCCACGAGAATTCCGTAAATAACGTAAAGCCAGCTGAACTACCCACCCGTAAATACTGCTCCCAATCTGTTACCGCCAAACGTGTACGATTCGATGATAAAATATTTGTCAGGGAGGAAAAATCGATTGCGAATTACGTTAAAAAAGATTCCTCTGTATCTCAAATACAATTTCCTCTCGAGACACGTTTGTGCAACGATGTGTTCCAAGGTTTGAAATTTCCCCAAAATTTAGAGAAACGTGGGAACTATTACGAGGATTATGAAGATCTAGATTACGATCCGTTCCTTTGTGAAAGTTTAATCGAGACGCGATCGATGGAAAATGATAACAACATTCCTCTTAATCCGTGCACCTCGTACGTAATTAATTATGTGAAATCGTTGCAGCCTGACTTGAAATCGTTCTATTTTGAAAATGTCACATCCCCTTACAATTTATATCCCGGTGACGATTTTCTCGACAAAGATTTTTCTCAAAGGAAATTCGAAGTGATCTACAAGAAACAGAGTGGCGAGCTTAAACAGAAGAAAGATAATTATTCTTGCGACAAGGCACAGAGTTCTAATTCGTTCGCGAAAAATAGGCAGAATAACGTGCAAGAGAAGAAAAGTAATACGTACGGTACAGGTGGAAAGAACGTTTCTCAATTTCATAAAAAAAGCGTAGCTGAGGACAAGAAGTTGGAGAACATTCGACCTAAAGCTAAATCCTGTAGCCCCGTAGGAAGGATACTTAACAACGAGACTAATCGAAGAGCAAGATCGCATACTCCAGAGATCAAGCCTCAAAAAAGCAATTTAATTAAGTCACGTAGTGGCGACGTGCAAAAGCCTTGCAATTTAAAATCTGTCGTTACTCGGAAACGGGAAGAGAAAGTTTCGATTCCATCGAAAAGTGGCAAGTTTCCTTATAAAAGTTTCTCTCCGCGTAAAGAAAATATTAAAAATGTCGAGCACAGTGTGATACCGTTTCCAAACGATATTAAAGAATTGTCGAGAACGAGAAGGAACAATTCATCGGGTGATTGCAAAACCGAAAAGATTTTGACCAATGACAAAGTTAAAGATAAGACGAGTAAATTGTGCGCAGTAAACATATTGCATGGGAAGTTGGAGAAAAATTTTCTTGCGATAAATAAGAAAAACGTGAAAAAAATTAATCATAGCAAGAAGAAATGTAATTTTTCTATCGTGCGCGATATGTGGTCGAATCTCGATATTGTGGAGAACAAGTGCAAGTCGCAAAGTAAGCTCAACGCGAGCATGGAAAATTGTATTTTTTTTGGAATTTGGAAGGTGAAGAAAGAGCTGGAAGATTCTAAGAAGAAAAAATAAAAGAGAGAGTAAAAGGATTGTCCAAAAAGGTGGTGGTCGAGCGAGAGTCTAGAAAAGAGCAAATAAAAGAATTGTCTAAAAAAAATCGAACAAGAGTCTAGGAAAGAGCAAATGAAACAATTGCATAAAATGATGAAACAAGAGGCAGAAATTTCGTCTGAAACGTCGGATAACATTGCGTGGAGATTAAGCGATTCGAAGCCTTTCATCCCGTTATCCCAAGAAACTCTTCGCCAATTGAGGCAAGTGTACAATATCGAGCATCACTTGAATTTATCTGCAAATTTAAACAAATCGGAAAAACTGGAAAGAATGAAGGTTTACGATAAGAAGAGAAAAGAAAATGGCAAGTTTCAAGAAGACGAATTCGTTAAAAAATGTACTTCGACCGCGAGTAATTCTTTGTACGATACGTCAGACGATAATATTCCAGATCCAGCGAGCTCCGTAAATTTACAGAACGATGTGAAAACGAAAATCCAAATTTTAAATCCTATATCCGAGGTTGTAAATTCTATACCTAAAAATCGTGATTTTTCGATTCAATGCCTAATTTCTAATTTGACGGCCAATGCGATAGAAACCAAAAATGAATCGACTTTTTTCGCGAATAATATCACGGATTTGAATAATATCACGAAATTGTCTAAAAAAGATGAGAATAATACAAATAACGTCACGGACAATATTCCAAAATTGTCCAAGAAGGATGATGAGAACGATGTAAATAACAGGACGAATGATATCACAAAATTGTTTAATAAGAACGAGATACAGGATATGAATAACGACACAAATGATATCCCGAGATTGTCTAAGAAAAACGACGAGATACAAAATTTTTTGTCTACTTTAATGTCTTCGTTAAGTGCTGATATTGTGTCTAAAGTCGCGAATCGTAATACCTCTAAGTTAAAAAATAATTTAAACGTTAAAAAATTAAGTTACGGTTTACTTACTAAAAATATAAAATCGTCCAATGTCAATGCTAATGTCGTCATGGATATTTCGCAGCATGTTCATTCGGATTTCCTTATTCGTCCCTTGTTCAATCAAAAGAATGGGAAAAATATTAAATCCATCGATCTAAATAGTTATCTACCGTTGAAAAAAGGATTTCACGTGAATCCTTATTTCGAAGAATTGAAATATATGCAATTGTTCCCGGACAATATCGAAATTCATTCGAGTTCGCCGAATGCTAAGAATTTCCTCAGAATGAGGCACATATATACGTTTCTCAAGTCGAATCGAACTCTTTGTAGATTATCGTTGTATTTATATGTATACGGTATTCTGAGTCTTGTTCTTATATTTTTAAAAATCGGCTGTTACATCTTGAATCCCGGCGTTCTATATAATTTTTTCTAAATTAAATCATTATATATAACAACGATCAAATGTATCCCCTTGCGTTTCTAGAATAAATGTCTTCTTCTGCCTCCGGTATTTCTTTAAATTTTTGCAAAAGTATAAAAGTAACGAGGGGTCAAAGAATTTGCTGCCAGTTTTAGAAAAATTATCAAGAAGTTCAAGATGGATCATACTTCTATATAAGTATGTTTTCCTCGTCATCCACATTTTCCTTTTAACTTTTCAACCTGACTCTCGACTCTCCTCTTTTCCTTTAAATTTCTTTAAATTTCTCCAATTAAATTTCTCTATTGATCGTATTGTACATATCGTATCTTTTCGCGTACTCTTTAATTTTATCTCTTTAATTTTTTTTTTTTTTTTGTTTTCCAGACCGTACCAGAAAAAAAGACGATTACTTCGATTCCGCAGAATGGTACCACGGCGAAACGTCGCGTCCCACCAATTCACAAATCAAAATCGACGGCCAACAGCGAGGCGAATAAAAAAGCAAGGGAAGCGAGGGAACAGGCTCGAAGACAATTGATCGAGGAGAAAAGACGAGCGATGCGCTCGAATGCGCAAAATTCCGAGAATACCGTAAAGATCTTCGCCCCCGATACGTAACGAAAAAAAATTGGCGGCGGATCTGTTGAATAATTTTTAGCAGCGTTTTTTTGGTGACGCTTACGCCTCGAGCCAAATCAAATTGCGGTATTTTTTATGCATTTTCTTGAACAACTCCGAGAATCTTATCGAGCCGTCTGGCGAACAATTGGTGGTCGGTCGAAGCTTTCTCATTGGCGATTTAAATACAATGCTCGTTGGTTTGCGTTTCAGCCCGACAAGCCTATGTTATTAATAGTTCGATGACAATTAAACGCCCAGACTGCTCGATATGGAGTTGATTATAAACAATTACCGATATGCTTCGATTACAATCAAACTCGCTTTATATCGTTAATAGGGTTGAGCGTTGTGGGGCACCACACGAGCAATAAAAGGCCGACTCGTGGTATATAATTGATAGATGATTAGGACGATCGAATTTTTTTTTAGAGATTGATTTTATATAAAATACGAAAAGAACTGGATCAGATTAAGAAATGAAGTTTTTTTAATGAAGTTTTACGATATTTTATTAATGATGTTTTTCGTCTCACGCTCTGTCTCACAACACACGTTCGTTTCACTTCGATTTTACACGCTGTGATGTTTCGTGCTAATCTTGTTACGTTTTATATCAATTTACGCTCTCGTCCGATTTATATAATACGATATTTAACGTTCAATCTTAACGAACGGAATAGCACAGTAATTTTGTGAGCATTCTCGGCTCTTTGTTTCGTGGTTTTTTTTTCTTTTTTTTTTTTTTTTTTTTTGTTAAAATAATTACGTCACGAAGAGATCGAAGATGGAGAAGAAGAAGTTATTCGATGAGAAAATAAAACAATCCGGAGTAAATGAATGATAAAAGATATTTTGATTTTTCGTATTAGAAAGAAACAATAAAGAGACTGCTCCTTGTCTATAGGAATTTTTTTATATATAAAAGAGTAAAAAAAAGCTAAAAAAAAAAAAAAATTAACTCGAGCCGGATTGGATCGGATCATGTTTCCGTATTGCGTTTCTTCAGCGATCGCGATTCAACTTATATTTATATATAAATTGCATGTGGAAAGAAACGATAAATGAACCTAAACTTAAAGATCAAGAAGAGGATGACGATTTAGAAGAAGTTTATTAATTTATCCTGAACTTACTTCCTGTTAGTCACAAATTAGAAACTTAATAATAAACTTGGTTCAAGAATTTAAAATTTAAAGTAATACTTGAAACATATTGGTTGGCCTTGAACCAGATATATAATTCTTATCGCGTAGTTAATGTACATAATATTAACGATCGTTTACAAGCAAACTGCATTTGCCTAATGAGTTCTGTCGTTTGCGAAACGTCGATGAACGATCGAGATCGAGAAAGGATATCGTGAAGCTGCAAATTGAAATCGGAAAGATTCCTATTATTTTTATTATACGTATATGTCTACTTTCTTCTTTTTTTCTCTCTCTCTTTTTTTAACGTCTCTAATTAATATTACTATTTTTTGAACTAAAATCGTTTAATTTTGATCGCATTTTGATTAACACCTCTTGCGAGGAAATCCCCCCTTCAAAAAAAAAAAAAAAAGAAGAAAAAAGGGAATATCATAATCGTTGAATTAATTTTGCATAAAAAATACATAATAGACGGAAGGTAAAGCGTGTTAAAAGTGTGTCCTAGCGTCAAAAATCGCACGGATCCACGTTTGTCTTAAACTGACATTCCCGTAGAGACGGTCTTGAGATAGTTTAATTCCCACGTTAATTTTAAGATGATGTATCTGATAGATGAAGGTGGCGTTAGCTGGTGTAAGTAGAGCTCGTCCAACCAAATAACACGCGCTATCTAAAATTAAATACTCGGTATGGTGAGTGTGTCGCGATATTTTCACGATGGTGGATCGATTTTAATATTAATACGCTGATGAATTTTAATTCCGTGCTCGTTGAAGGGAAAGGCAGAAATAAAAATGAAATGAAAAAAAAAAAAAAAAGGAAGGAAAGGAAAGATAGGAAGAAAGAAAAAGAACATTTTCCGAAGCGTCGTTCCGAATACACGCAGGAACGACGTGTCAAGCCGCGTTATTTATTGACTGTTAATTCCCTTGGTGCCTTGATTATTTATATACGTGTGTACATAAAATCGACTGACAGCCGACGATTCGCTCGTCGATATTTACGTTCGATCGCTTTCGATCGGAAGACAACAAACGAGTCGATAAATGAGAATGAAATGAAAGACACGTTTGAGAGCTTCTTTCTTCGATCAATTCGATCGATTGATTAATTTCATCGCGCACCACTCTCGATCGAGGAGGCAAGGAATCGAGGTTATTCACTTTTGTTCTCATTTATCCGTTTCGCCTAAAAAGAGAGTGAAGAGTAATTTTTTGGCAACGATCTATTCTAGATTTTTCTAGCGAATTCATCCATTTTTTTCTTTTTTTTTTTGTTTTCTTTTTTTTGTTGTTACATTTCATCGTGGGCGATTACTTTTTAACCGCAATAATTAACCGGATGCCGCGAACGATTGTGTGTAATGGATGAGAGATTATTATGTGTGGCTGGAGAAACGAGCGATTGCAGGCAAATTAATTAATTAATTAATTAATCGTGTACATTTATAGAAGTCGATATTGTATTGGTGTACATTGGCCAGCACAACAGAAATCACACGTATCGCAATTTCTCTTGTTTTCTCTTGTATTCTTATTATTATTATTATTATTATTATTATTATTATTACTATTATTAATATTATTATTATTAGTTTTTTCCAAGAGTTGCATCTCGATATATCGTTTACGTGTACAGTCCGCGTTTAGGGGCTCTCACCTTAATCCACGCGTAGTAATTTATATTCAAGACAAGTTCCCCCAAGTTGTTCTTTTTGTAAAGAAAAGACCATACACACCGCGATGCTTCTCGAGAGATCGATCCTAAGCGTATACGAGGACAATCGTCGTGACGATTACATTCATCGATACTTTTTGTGTCTCCGTTTTCTAATTTCTTCCTCGAAACTTTCGTCACAGGTGACTATTACGGTTTCTTTACGGAGAAAGAGTGTCCTGCGTTTTTATTTCAGTAAGAAAGTTTCGAACAGTTTATTCCTCCTCGGTATAAACGGTAGGAAACGCAAGTTTTTTTTTTCTCTCTCTCTTTTTCTCTCCTCTTTTTGGAACATATTGTTCGAAGAGATTCGATGTCGCATCGACCGTCGAATCCTTTCCCTTTTTGTCTTTTTTACACGAATTTTAAACAATTACGATTATTTATTATTAGATATAATAGTAAGCTGACCATACACTTGTTCTCAATGAATTAATAAAAAATGATAGAAAAAAACATGCGAGCGTTTTTTCTATAATTTATAAACGAACACGAAGAAGAAACGAATTTTTCAACAGTGTATCCTCCATTTATTTCTTCCTTGTATAATACATAATTTCCTCTTATACCTTATCTCCTATACGAATATCCGTGTCATGTACATTTGTAAAAAAATTGTAGTAAAAAAAAATACGTTCACAATTGTACTTATCGTATAAAACAACTACAATGCTATATTTCGATAGAAAACTTGGGGAAGGATTAATTGGCACAGATTCATTTCTGGTGATAAGTAATACTCTCCGTCCGAGCAAAAATTTAATAACTTCGTCAAGAAGTATCACCGACCTTGATCCTCAATTTGGTCCCGCGACAAATTTCCTCTTTTTCTCTTTCTTTCGTCGAGAAGAGGAAGTAGTATTATTTGGCATTTTCTTTCATCGTTCATTTTCTGGCGCAGAAAATGGTGACGCGTGGATGTTCCAAAAAGCATCGATCAGATGATACGTTCCCCAATTTTTCTCGTTTCACGCGAGACAAATCAAAGTTTTCCCCTCGTTCATCTTGTCTTGAACTTTGTCGCTGGCTGTCGACTTTTCCGCTTGCCCACTGATTACTGCGCAAATAAACGTCAACCCGACCCCTATCACGGCACTATAAAAAGCCCAACCTGGAAGATAAAACATATTTTTCAGCCCTTTCTTTCCTCGGCGATCTCGGAGAAGGGGGCCAGATAAAGTAGAGAGAACTCTCTGTTCCTTTTTTGTCCTCTCTTTCTCATTTTAAATTTCTACTACCTAAGGAGCATTCAGCGAGGTAGAAAGCATCGGCTTCCGGTCCGCAGATCCTTTGAACCCTTTCTGCGCCCCAACCGGCTGGATACAAAATCATTCCCAACAGATAAAATATTCCTGCGGACGACAAAAGGATAAGTAGAATTATCGATGAAAAAAATAGAACGAAACAAATGTATTACAAGTGTTGTTGCAAACACATTATCGGAAATTTTTTTCTTACCAGCGATGACTTGGGCCACACCAGCCAAATTGAAGATGCTTTTTCTGCCGATGCTCTGCATGCAGCAGCCAACCAAAGCTGCCAACACCGTCATCGCCATAATCGCCAGGCCGAAAGACAAAAAGAAGTACGAGGCTTTCCAACAGCCTGGAAACACACTGGAATCCGTCGCGAAGCCGTCCAAGTTAAAATTCGCGCAATGAGTCTTCTTCCCGTGCAGCCTGATGCAACGATTGAAAATTCCAACTGTCGGTACGTAGGACTCTGATCCGTTCTCTGACAATTAAGAAAAAAAAAAAAAAAATAAAGTAAAATAAAAAGCTATCGATTCTTCGTTCGATATAATTTTTTGTTTCGAATGAATTATGCTAATTAAGTACTAACGAAAGAGCGTGGAATCTCATTAAAGTTCAAGTCTATTGCATCCCGTTAAGTATAAGCTCTTTCAATCGCACGATAATCAGGGAAAGAGAAACAAGAAGAACAAGAGGAAAATAGTTACTCGTGTCCTTCATCTGCGGTCCAATCAGCCATTTCGGAGTGATGAGGCCCGATAAAACGGCCATTAACGCCACCAGGGACAGCAACGTCCACAGCAAACTACGACCAGTGACTATCACATAGCACATGCTGCCGTTCAATTGTATGCCGCCTATGCTGCCATCCTTCGAGCTCCGATCTCCCGCTGTAACATTTCCATTCCATTGGATATTATTCTTGAAATTGTTCGACCACGATGTAAATCCACGATTCCCTTCGATCGTGCGCATTTCTCCCGTTGGAGAGGCTAATTGGAAAAGATGACTCGTGGACACCCTTATCGTGATTCAGTCGGCTCGAGGGGTCAACGAATCGACGAGAGTTTCGGGCAACTGCGCGAGAATAAATGCCGCTCACATATATTTCGGGGAAACGTTACGTACGGTCCCCTTTCCCGCGAACCAACCAACAGACCCGCATTAAAAGTAAAGTCGTAAGCTTGACCGCGCACCTCCTCCCTTTTTTCCCCTTACCGGTTTCGATTTTTTATTCTGATTTTGTGGGAATCGTAAACTCGTGCCCGCCAACAAAGCATCCTTTTCTTCGGTTCGCTCGTAAAACGTAGCGAGGAGTTCGCGACGATTCGAATCGAAATACTTTCGAAATTTATTGCCGGTGATCGAAAACTGTGCTACCGTACTCTTAGAAATTTCCAATCTTCTATTCAACGTTCCATTCAACCAAAAATCTTTCAATACCTCGTTCGAGCGACGTTCGTGGCTGAGGAGAGATCGATCGGAAACCTGCCCCTCCCTCAAAACTGACCTATTTTGCTTTCTAACTTTAGATCGGCCTAGGTTCGGTGATGTCTGTGAGATGATTTATCGGGCCCTTCGCGTGCTCTTCCCCACGAGATTTTCGATTCTCCTCTCTTTAAACCCGCAATCTTAATCGTTTTCGTTCGTTCGTTCGTTCATTGCGCGGTCGGACGAGCGATTCCCCCCCTTTGATGTACGCCGCTACGTGTGGCGAATCGGTAGACCACGATCGCGGTATCGCGGTTTTCGTATGGAAAAGATGGAACGGATTCTGCAACTGTTCTCGTTTTATTCAGAGAGAGGAACGAACTTATAAGTAGTGAATAAAGTAAATGGAAAACAAGAAAATGAAATGTTTGAAAATAAAAGAAGAGAGAAAGAGACGATATTTTTCTTTCGGAAAACTCTTGTGTTTTTCCACAAAGCGAAGAAAAACGTGAACAAAAATATTGAGATGAAATAGACAACGCCCGGCAAACGATCGCGTCGCATCGCCCTCGCTACTACTGGCATGGAAGGGAGGGGCGATGTTTAATTAAATTCGTTCACGTTGTACATCTGCCGCTCTTATTTTTGTCATTTCTTGCGCGCGACCTCCTCGACAACCACTCGAAGGGCCGAGTTTACTTAGGATCGCCCCTTAATCGCTGTTTGTATTTATACTGTCTCCGAGTTCGCGTTGGATTTAATGAATCCCCAACACCGAAAGCGTTGATTCATCGTACCCTAGAAACTCCGCAACTTCGCTTTTATTCTATTCCAACGATCTTGGTTTCGACATCGAACATCTGTTTAAAAAAAAAACAACACACACACACATTCGGTATTCGTACAATCCTTTTTTTTTTTTTTTCTTTTTTATTTCACGATCAAGTGTCTCGTGAAAATGTTTGACGACACGTGATATCGATAAATCGCGCGATTCGTGTTATCCGTTCGAAGAAGAACGGACGAGATAAGAGCGATCAAAGCTCGCACGTAGGCCGACTACCATTCGACGGACAGACTCTCTCGTCTTTTTTTTTCTTGTTTTTTTTTTTCTTTCCTTGCCCATTTTAATCGTCGCGTCCATTGTTGGAGCACGAGCCACGCCTTGGTGGAGAGTGCAGCAGGGGCCCATTGTCTCGCCACGAGTCCCCCCCTTACTGAATTAATTTTCGACGTTTAATTCGTTGGAAAAGAGCGGAGTAATAAGGCTTCGAAACTAAGCGGAACGAAATTCTACGCGGGCAGATGAGATTCACTCAACTGGTCGTCGTTAAAAGTTAAAATATCCGATGGAATTTCTGACGGAATCAAGGTGAAGGGGAGAGAACTGGTACAGAAGAAGGGGATTTCCGCGATGTTCCTGAACCTCTTCCTCGCATCACGGAATGCGATATCTTTCCTTTCCTCTGTTCGTGGTCGGTGGAGAGGCTCCGACCATTAGTCATCGAGCAATGGGTCCTCTGTCCGGCAACTCGTTATCAGAAAGGCGTAAGTCGACGGCCAGTGCGAATTCCACACTCGTAAATTCAAATCACACGTTTCCGCCGCCGCGCCCCCTGCCCCCCAAACCTATCGCTACACGAAAATACAAATCCTCTTCCTCGTCACCTTCGCACGTTTTAATCGTACATCTTGATGGACCGAAGGCTATCCCTTTCTCGAAACTCGAAAGGAGCGTGGAAAAAAATGGATGGAAGAGGATCGAGGACTGGCAAGATTGGATAAAATGTTGACAAAATTTAAAACAATTGGCGTTCGATTACAGAAACACGAGACACCTACCATCGTTGCATAATCTAGCAACGATGCAGACCATCTGCAAGGCAGCTGTTGGACAGGTGCTCCCTTACTCCTCCAGTCTCTCTCTCTCTCTCTCTCT